TGTTCCCCGACTCAGGTACTTTTTTCTTTTGTCCGTTCGAGGACGAACGGTTGTTTTAGAGGTGGAGGATGTGACGACCCAAAGGGGTCATCACCTGTTTCCTCATCTGTTCCGTGCTTCTGAGGCCTTGAAAACCTCATTTTCTATCGCCTCGATTTGCGTGCGCAGTCCGGGCGCGTAGCCGGAAAGCTTTTATGTTGAAATATGTGCATTCTGTGAAAATTTTGAAGAATTTTGATATTAATATGATTATAGTTGACTTTGGTCAACATTTTTGGTAAACGGACCCGGACCCGAGATTGGACGGTCCCGGAAGGTCCGTAGAAAAATATGGGACTCGGGCATGTGCCCGGAGTCGAAATCCGAGGTCTAGAACCTGAGTAAAAGAATTTTTCTGTTAAATTGTTTTTCTGAAATTATTAAGGAAAATGAAAATGAAAATTTATTAAAATACTATGGTATCGGGCTCGTATTTTGGTTACGACGCCCGGTACAAGTCTTATATATGGTTTAAGCGCTTCCTGTAAAGTTTGGTCTAAATCGGACGTCGTTTGACGTGTTTCGGACCTAAATGTCTAAAGTTGGAAGTTTATGAATTTTGAAATGAAAATGATGATCTTGAGGCTTGATTCAATGATTTTGATGTTATTATGGCGATTTGATCGCTCGAGTAAGTTCGTAAGATGTTTTTGAGTTAGTGTGTGTGATTGGGTAGGAGCCCCGAGGGCTCAGGAGTGTTTCGGAGGTAGTTCGGGGTGTTTTTACACTTGGAATGGTAGCAGATTTTCTGCAATTTTTGCCCAGTGAAATCCTTCTTCGCGTTCGCACTCCCCCTCACGCGTTCGCGATGCTTCATTTTGTTCCTTCATCGCGTTTGCGTCACTAGTCCGCGTTCGCATAGAGATATGAACCTCCAAGGGCCCAACCCTCTTTTCTTCTTCGCGTTCGCGAGGGCCGGACCGCATTCGCGTAGTTCCCAGCCCATTTCCCATCGCGTTCGCGTACAGGCCAACGCGTTCGCGTAGGCCAATTCTCCAGGCACCTAATATTTTCTCTTCGCGTTCTCATCCCTTGTCCGCGAACGCGATGCTTGCCAACTTCTATTCATCGCGAACGCGGCCCTACTGTTGCGAACGCGTAGTGTAATGTCGTCCAGTGATTTTTTTTTTAAAGAACAGAAACAGTACGCTCGGGATTTTTCACTTTTTATCACGAGCCCTCTTCTCTCCCAAGCCTTAGGAAGCCATTAAAGCCCCCAAGCTTCAAGACCCCTTGAGTAAGTAATTTCCCACTTATTTCCTTTACTTTTCCTTCATTAATTAGCAAGTTTCTAAGCCTAAATCATGAAATCAAGGTAGGAATCATGGGTTTTGGGTAGAGTTAGGGTTTTGAGAATTTTGGGTAATTCAACCCCAATTTGGGGTCGAATCTTAAAACCAATTATATCCTTGGATTCGTGGGGTTATGGGTGAATTTATTTTGGTTCGAACCTCCTGTTTTGACCAAGCGAGCCCGGGGTCGGTTTTGCAAATTTTGGGCAGAATATTGGAAAGATTATATTTAGGTATTTGGGTTGGATTGTTGAGTATTATTGATGATATTAAATCAATTGTGTATAGATACGATTGAATTGGAGCCAAATTCGAAAGGAAAGGCATTGCTTAAGGATTGAATTGGCCGTAAACCTTCGAGGTAAGTGTTTGGTTTAACCCTAGCTTGAGGGAATAGGAGTTGAGTCTTGTTGCTAATTGCTATGTGATCGAGTATTATGTGTAGGCATGGTGACCAGTATCTATACATCGGTGTCTAGCATGACCGTGAGTCCTTATAATGTGATTATCATGACTTGGCTGTGAACTCCGTGTTTATTTGGAGGATTTCTATTTGTTGTGAATAACACGTGAACGGTAATATGATCACTTGTTTCCTGGGAGCTTTGGCTCGAATTTGATACGAATATTGAAAGTATACGAAAAGACTTGATTCTTTGGAGCGTTGGCTCAAAATAGTAAAGTGAATTAAAAGATAAGGAAAGTAAGAAAGAGAAAGCGTTGTTGAATTCTTTCCCTTGCCGGGATGTTTGTCAAATATTTGCTTATTTTTATGCCCCTTTATTGTGACTGTTGTTTGGGGAGTCGGACTGTACCATGATATTGAGGATCGGGTTGCGCGCCGCAGCAATAATATGTGAGGATCGGGTTGCGCGCCGCAACAATGATATATGATAAGTGATATAGGCCGGGTTGCACGCCGCAACAATGATATTGTGGAGCGAGTTGCACGCCGCAACAATGATAATTATGGAGCGGGTTGCACGCCACAACAATTATTGAGGCTATGTGTTTACATTTGAGTATTGATTCCTGGTTCACTGTGAACCTAAGTTGTTTTAGTTGTTACTCTGGATTATTGTTATTATTGTAACTCCACACAGCATGTTTCCCCTCCCATGTTGGTAATTGCCTTGTATTCGATTTCCGCTGTATATCTATAACTGCACAGGTTTATGTGGTATCCAGTCTAGCCTCGTCACTACTTCGCCAGGGTTAGGCTAGACACTTACCAGCACATGGGGTCGGTTGTGCTGATGCTACACTTCTGTGCATTTTTGCACAGGTCCAGATTTTGAGGAGCAGCAGCAGCAGTAGTACGGGAGCAGGCTTTCACATCACGAGACTGAGGTAGCCTTGCAGGCGTCCGCAGGCCCGGCGTCTCTTCTCATTGTTTTCCTTCAGACTGTTGCCTCCTTGTTTCGAGACAGACAGCTGTTATATTTCTTTCAGACCTTTGTATTTAGTTTATTCTTAGTGGTTCGTGAGTAATGTGACACCAAATCTTGGGTAGAGGTTATTTTTGACTATTCCGCGTTTTAAATTCACCATTTTAAGACAGACTTCCGCTATTGTTCTCATTAGACTTTATGTTCTATATTGATGTTATAAACTGTTAAAGATAATTGCTAGTGATGGAAAGGTAATTAAGTTGGCTTGCCTAGCTACCACGAGTAAGCGCCATCACGACTCTGATGGTGGGAAATCCAGGTCGTGACACTTTGTTTCAACAAAAATATTATAAAACGGATGGAATACTTTGATATTGTCTTATTTTCTTATCAAACATATAAATCAAACATATCTTAGCAGACATACACTTAATGAAATTAAAGTATGTAAATAAAGAAATCTGTATGTAAAAGATGCCATTCTTTTGATACAAAGTAAAAATGAAAGAGTATAACATTAAAGGGAACAAGAGTAAACTTTTTAATTTTTAGAATTCAATTTTGTATAAACGTCCACAACCATTACAATAGAACTTTTCGTTGTTTTATTTTACATGATATGATTAATTATGAGGAACTTCATTAGTTTCCTATTATAATACAGGTGTAGCAATATAATATTGTTGACGTTTTTTTTAATTTTTTAAATTAAGAGTGGACACTAAAAAAACAAAGATAAGTTATAAAGTCAAGATTTTCCCTCTATGTAGCTTCTAACTAATTTATTTACTTATGATCATGTATATTGCGTTCATAAGTTTGAAAATTTAACTAAATGCTCTTGAAAGATGGCACTATTTAGCTGCAAATGTTCGAGGAAGAGAGCGTAAATGCCACATTTCTAAATACGTTTCACCAAATTTTATTTATCAAATGACAAACATTGTTGCAATGTGTAAAGATTTATCTAATACTATCTACCTGATAAAATTACTAGATAAAATTTTATATATCTACTTTTTTGTTTGTACCAATGTCATCTCATTATATGAAAAATATTATTCTGATTTTCGATGGGTACAGTAATTTTTACAAAATATAGTTGCCGTCCTTTTAATATCAAATTGTCTAATCAACTCATCTTTACGACATCACACTATAAATATCTCATTTTATAATGTGCGTAAGATTTTTTCATTAGTAGAATCAATTACCAAATTACAAGTTGAACATCTAACATTTTACTTGCTAAATTCACTCAAATAAAAATTAGAAAAAAAAATTTTGGCATGTCAAACAGGATTACCTTGTAAGGCTCAGTTGGACTTCAAGAACTTATAGGAATATATATTTTTAATATGAGAAGAACACCAATATTCAAGTCCCAAATGAATAAGAAACTTATGCCAGATATCCTATTACTCGTTATCATATACCAAAGAAGAACATATTTCAGGTATATGCAGAGTATGTGTCTTCAGTTTTCATGTCTTCCTAACATCCTCTTCAATGAAGTAAATTGCATATAATTTATGACCCATTCTGATCAATTGTCTTATATATGGTGTAGGGTATAAGCTTCTATATTAGAAATGCATAGCAAAACTTCTCATAAGTTAGCCTCTTGTGGCCTATTCCCGTAGTACAATGCCTCGAATTTCACTATCTTTCATGTAATGTTTTCTAAATCACTGTAAACATGATATTGATGTGTAACATCTCATAGTTTATTTCTTGCTAGACAGTGGTACTACTACTTACTACGGCAGTATCATGTGTTACATCATCATCACAATCACAAGAGGGTTGGGGTTGAAGTGAACTAACTATCCAGTAGAATTGATTGGAGTAGTCACAACTATTTTACGTGCTAGTTATTGTTGTCCCTCCAGCTCTATCAATTGTGAATTAAATATTAAATATTGCTTTGGTCTAGCCACTAATTTCATCTTAAAAAATTAAGAAAATCTCAAAACTTAAAGTCAATAAAGGGAGCTTTTGCCACCAAATCAATCAGAGAGTATATTGTGCAACAACATATAGTAATTTAATATATAGCACGATTGACAGATGATTAAAGTAAAGAATTCTAGATTACCCAATCCCTTAAAGGAGTACATCTAATTGGGTTAACATTTATGCATCAGTCCATTAGCATATGCATAAGCAGCTTTTTTAACACTTTATATTGTTAAACTTTCTTCCTGAATTTGTAATATCAAAATGCAGGATATGCATTTTAGTGCGCAGCTACAATATAAGAAATAAAGATGATTAATAAGCACAAAATTCATGCAATATATAAACATGTTTCAAGTTACTATTGATATCTACGTGCAATTTCATGAATATCCTTTTTTTAAAAACAACTATGACATTTAAGCAAAAGCCAAAATAACAAAATTTTGACATGAAAAGATGGTGATATTAGATAGAATGTTAACACTATCCTTTGCTAGCTTCGACATCGTGCAACCAGTGGTTAAATCCACTAGACGTGAATGTTCTCCTGCACAGATACAAATTATCCTTTGACATGTAAAAAGTGTTGAAAGCAAATCTGAGAGTAAAGAGGAATTGCATAATAAATATGTTGAAGTTTGATACATGGGAACTTCCTAACTGTTTGTTCCTTCAGTTCAAATTGAACCAGGAATTAGGATACTCCAATGACTCATACTATTTCGGCTAATTATTGTAACGCCCCGCAATATTACGTCGATATTACGTCCCGCAGTATTATATTACGACGATGTTGCACCCTGTAGTATTGTACGTTGAATTTGTCGTAAGGTAATTGACATCAGTCCAAGGAAAAGATTATTTGGAGATTATAAGGATTATGCTATTTTAAACAAGTGATGAGTAAATTCGTGAAGGTGAGAGGGGAAGCATGTCAAAAAAAATGAATTTTCGTCCAAGTTTGGCATGTTGGAATAAAATTCGGGTCGAGCGTTAATACCTGATATTTATGGACTAGTGCCATACAAGGTACCACATGACCATGATAGTAAGGTATATAAGTTATGTGAAAAATGAATAGTATTTTAAGTAAGTGAAAATAATTCTTAATTATGTGGGTAATTGGTTAATTATTGGGTAATGAGACATTACCTAGTTAATTACTCCCTCCGATCCAAAATAAGTGATTTTTCAGCTGTTTTCACACAGATTAAGAAATCCACCTTTTGACATTAATTAACAATAAAATTGACCAAATTAACCTTTATTATCTCTCCACATAAATACTCCTAACACATACTCCAATACTATTTACTCCAAGGGCAATGTAGGAAAAAACTAATTAATTCATTCTTGAAATCTGGAAAAATTACTTATTTTGGACCACAAAAAAAGACCAAAAAACCATTTATTTTGGATCAGAGGGAGTAATAATTAGTGGTGGATTAATTAAAGTTTTTGGGTAAAGACTAAACCCAATAACGTGGCAGGAAGCCACTCTTGATCAAAATGACTCTTAGTCATAGTTCATGATTCATTGACTTTTTAATTAGGTGGCAACCTAACATGCCAATTACAAGACATCTCATTTATAACATTTTCATTTCTAACAAAACACTACATCAAATGCCTACAAAGTTCCTTACCAAAACTCTACAATCATATCCTAAAACACAACCTTAGTAACGTGATTTTTTTTCAAGCAATTCCTACAAGATTTCAAATGGAAGCCATATTCCTAGTGCAAGGTCTAAAACTAGCCATTCAAATGAGACTGACTCTCCAAGTCATTGAAACAGACTGCCAGGAACTAATCAACATGCTAAACAATGAAAATTGTCTTTATCAAACTATTATTGATGACTGCAGGTCCTATTATCTGAGGCGGGCACGCCTCCTTTGAAGCATGCATTCAGAGAAGCTAATGGAGTAGCGAACACCTTAGCCAAGAGTGGATGCAGCCTGGACTCTTTTGCTAACTTAATGTTGTATCATTATCCGCCTGTATTTGCTATTTCAGTTTTTGATAGGGATGGGATAGGCACTGTGTGGCCTAAACAAATCTCTTGTTGTAATGACTACTAAGTTTATGTTATAAATAAATGTCTTTATTTACCAAAAAAAAAAAAAACAATTCCAACGAGAATTGTTAAAACCGTAGCAAAGTAAAATTTTGTGATTCTAAAGGAGTACGATGCAATCTTTCGCAAGAATATTATACGGATTTTTCCCTACTCCAGGTATGTTAAGGCTATCCTTTCTTTCTTTTTGGCATGATCCAAATGATATAAACCAAACGAGCAAACACACAACTTTCATAAATAACTCTATTCATAGAAGTACTAGGGATGTCTATGTTCTTGATTCCCCATGTGACATATTATTATATCTTCTGTTCATGGGTCTCAGGAAATACGTAAGTTGATAAATTTTACTTCATGACATTAATCAAAGGCATAATGATCTTATGACATTCCGAGAGATTTTATTTATGTACTTCTCATGCATTGCATTCAATTATACATGTACATTGACCCATGACCAGATGACGTTTTATATATATATATATATATATGGGAAAAGGTTACGGTGTTATATACGCACCACCACCTGATCAGCTGATATACGTTGATGATTTGCCCACAGTGACCGATGATATGATGGGATGCCCTCAGAGGCTTGATGATGTTATGAGCACATGTACCTATGCACGACATGACACTCATACGCATATGCATGACACTATAAGCATTTCATGATATATAGAGTTATCCAGACATACAGGTTGAGTCATTTACTCTATATTTCTTCCATGTTCTGTTATGTACTTATTTATGTGCCTTACATACTCGGTACATTATTCGTACTGACGTCCCTTTTGCCTGGGGACGCTGCGTTTCATGCCCGCAGGTCCCGATAGACAGGTCGAGAGCTCTCTAAGTAGGCTATCAACTCAGCGGAAGATGTTGGTGCGCTCCATTTGCTTCGGAGTTGCTTGTTTGGTTAGTATGATTTGGACGTGTATTGTTTGATATGGCGGGACTCTGTCCCGACCTTTATGAAAATTATGTATTCTTAGAGGCTTGTAGACGGATACCATGTACGTAAAAGATTGTATAGCCTTGTCGGCCTATGTTTAGTATACGAGTGGTTATTCATATGTATAAGTTTGGATTACATGTTGGACCGTCCAATGTCGAGTATTTCTCCATGTTTTATTGTACTTATCTCATGACAGCCTCTCTGGCTCATTTACCTATGATAGTATGATACGAAAGATACGTTATGTAGGTACTCGGTTGAGTTGGGTACCGGATGCCCGTTGCGGCCCATCGGTTTGGGTCATAACAATTATGACCATCTATGCAGAGTGTTATTGCAACTATGCAATAATTGCATTGTCACAGATGATGTCTTTTAATTCAGCTTTATTTGTTCATAGTTGCATTAAAGGGACTTTTTGACAATTGGCATTAGTCTATATAATTCTTGCTGCCTAAACCTTTTGTTAGCATGATTTTTTTCAATTATTTGATCATTTTTATGATTCCCAGAGAGAAATAGTAATAAAAAAAGGAACGGAAGAAACTAATAGACGGTGGAAACATAGAATTATTCTTCCTTCGTATTATCATCAATTTGTCTGATGAAAAAGCAAACTGAAAGTATGAGTGCAAGTCCGTTTAATGAAAGAAGAAATAAGTGAGAAAGGTAGGAGTGGCTGAATTTATCTACCACTGAAACAACAACACCAACAACAGTTAGAGAAACGCTTTGATTATTGAATTTGATGCAGGATCAACATGTTACTCTATGGGATCATTTCCAAAAATAGTATGATTTTTATTAATAGGTGTTTTGAAATGCATTTTGATCTACTTGAGTTTCTTCCTGAATAAGAGAACTTATAATCTGCATTTGGTATTCATTTTCTCTCATTTTTACTTCTTAGGCAGAAACGAAAAGTTAAAAGATTGAATAAACCAAGACACAAAAAATTAGAAAGGGAAACCATATCAAAGCAACAAAAGGCCTTTTCGGGCTAAACTAACATTTTTATTTTTTCTTATCTCTAGAGACATATTAATGGCACCATAGTAGAACAAGCAAGAAAATATTATACAAAGCAACAACATTCAATTCGGTATTTGAGAGGAACAAAAGGGGCAAACTTTAGGATGAGATTGAGCAAAATCTGTATAAACAAATATGCATCAGGGAATCCGAAAAATTGAATTTGCAAAAAATCTTCAAAAATAAAAATGATAGAAATCAGCGGGGAACCAAAATATTCAAAGCCTCAGTATATATATATCTATATATATATATATTGTCCACATAACTCAAAATAATAAAGAATATCAATATATTAGTTAAAAAGTTGCCTAAATCAAATAAAAAATGGAGTGTAGTTCGGGAAGGGTGAATTGGCGCTGTTAGGGCTTTTTCTTGGACGAACCTGAAGCCTCGAATAGGAAACTATTCAGAGATCTGAAAAAATCAAAGCAGTAGAGAGAGAGAACAATGGGAGAGAATCATACCTTAAATTATAGGAGATTGATGAGAAAATGAAGAGAGGTAAATATTTTGAAGAACTGAAAATTCAAAAGTACTCCGTGAATAGAAGAGAGATGGTTCTAGACCAATGTGGAATGAAAAATACTGCAGTGAGCAATTTATATTAAAGCACTTTTATGATAGAGTAAAATATCAATTTTACCCCTGGTCGACCAATTTCTTATAATATATAATAGAAAAAAAATGAAAAATATAAAAAGAAAGAAACAAAAAAAATCTCTAGTAAAAAAAAAAGATAAAAGATAAAGAGAAACTTGAACCCAAGTTTTCAGAATTTTTCCAAAAATGTGTACTTTTTAGCTAATTTTTTATTAGTGTGTAGTTTTTGGGTGTGTCGAAAATATACAAATGTATTTATTAATAGTGATTTAAACACTGATAGACAGGTATAATCAGTAATGGACAGTGTTAAATTTTTAAAAGATCCAGCTAACATTTACTACATGGATTCTAATTATATATAAAAACAATTTTTGTATTTCACTTGTTATATCACATAATTTGTTTTATTTTTCATATCAGAGAATTTATTTATAATAAATATACAATTCTATGCGATGTGTAAGTCGCATTTTGTTTGAGAGATTTTTTGGAGAAATCTCCCCATCTTCTTACCCACCAGGTTCTATCTTTCCCGATCAAAAACCTTAACCGCCCCCCTTCGACGGAGTTCGCCATTACCGGCGGCTTCGCATTGGTCTCTCTTAATCCGAGATTTTCTGTAAATTAAACCTCAACCTCATCCCAGTCTTTGTTGTATTGTCTTTGTGCGAGAAAAAATCATCAGGTATGGCGCTGGCTTCTGTCAATTTCAAGTTCTCTTGAACTTACTTATCCTCATTTCAAGCCTCTATATTTGCATGTTTTGTTAATTTTCTGTTTTCATTAGGACAGGAATACTCTAGCAAAACCTAATGCAGTAGTATTTTTTAGTACTAGTGCTAGACATATTATAATCCAAGTGTTTATTTTTTTTTCCTCTCTCTTTTTTACAGGTTTACACCACTGGAGCTTCAAGCTGTTCCAGAAAAAGCATTTTAATTCAGTCCAAGTCTTATAAGGTGCATTTCTCAAGTGTAAAGTCGCATTTCGGGAATGAGTTTTAGCACCCTCACAGAAACTACCTACTACTGGAAATTTCAAGCCAATTACACATTTTGGTCAAAATTTCCAAAAGTTCTGTTGACCATCAACATATTATAGTCTATTTCATTCAACGGCCAAGATGTTTTTGGCTACTTATTGGAGTCAGCCTTCATCTTCTAAAACAGAAGTTTGCCTCTGTGCATTACTCCAGCAAGGGTAAGTCTGTTCTGTTTGCTTCCTTCAGTTCAAATAATGATACTAGCTAGCTTCATCCTTAAAGGATTAATTACGTTGTTCAGATTCTTAGTTTTCTATTTGCTTCTTTTGTTGCACTGCTTCCTTAGTAATATATATAGGCCTGAATTCGAGCGGAATATATAGAGGATTTGTATTGCCTATCCCAGCTAATTTGGGATTGAAGCGTAGCTGATGGATTGACATCTATTACTCCACTATTCATTATCTCATGCTGTATGACAAATATCAGACCATCAACTCGACGATCTAATGTTGTATGACAAATATCAGACCATAGACATATGTGAAATCAGAAAAGAACAACCCCCCCACCCCCCCCCCCCCCCTTGTGGCTTTTAATGCTTCTAGTATTGATCATTGAAGGAAAATGGATTCTTTTGAACATGGATCCTTAATTATTATTTTCTTGAATATTACTCCTTAATGGTTATTTTTACATTGAATTTGTTATGCTGACTCTTCACTATTCTGCTTTTATAGGTGCAATCCATCAAATGGATCAACAGACTGGGAAAAAATTGGTAAACATTATGTTAGTTGATCATTCAGGCCCATTATAATTTTTGGTAAATGGAATTAGCCATCTAACTCAACAAGAGTAGTCGATAAATAGGGCAAAAGGTTCAAGATGTGGGAATTAGGATTCCTTTTTCTTTATAGGAATACGAGAGCTGCAACATTCATAGGAAGATGGGTTTTGGAATGAATTCTTTGCATCTTTTCATCTGAACTTGGTTATTTGTATACTTTGTTACATAGAAAATATAGAAAATTGCACCAGGAAATAGGATCTGTTGCAGCAGATGCATATGCTCAGATGCCTAATATATAAATAGTGCATATACTGATTTATGGGGCTCCGCTTTGCAGCTATGAATAATCTCACGTCTATGCTGCCTGTATTACCCTTACATTTTTTATTGCCAATCTGCAAAAATACCATAAGCTTTCTAAGTCCATTTCTGCTTGAATATTCGGTGCTGCGAAGTTACTTATCAGCAGTCCTTACGAGGGCTGTTCTATGTCTACCATAAGCTTTTCAACTATGCTGTGACTATGCTTTTCCTGAGCCGAATGTCTACTAGAAACAACCTTTCTACCTTCACAAAGTAGGGTAAGGCTGCGTACACACTACTCTCCCCAGACTCCACTTGTGGGATTACACTGGGTTTGTTATTGATTCTAAAAATAATGATTAACTCATGACGTTGTTAATATATACAAGTTAAATTCATTTCTTCATTACTTTTTGCTCTTCTGAATCGGTTCTTGAACATTGATTTCAGCAGGTGAAATAAGGTTAAAAAACAGTGGGACAACTGCTTACATGTGGTATTTGATGATTTTGATCTCATACCAGTGGGACAATAAATAAAAAAATTATACATCCCTTCGTACAGTTCCAGACCATTTTCATACAAATGAATAGCCACTTTACTTTCACTTTCGTCTTTCGTCCGAGAACGTAGGGTTTCCTGTTCATGATCTCTCTCCAATATTTGACCTTATAATTGCAGGTAAGTATTCAGATGTTAACTGTTTCTTAAAGTTTATACGAGTACGCTTATTCTAGCTTCTCAGGTTCAGAATTTTGGGATATTAATCATATTATATTATAAAATAAAAGTTAAGTTGGCTCTATGGAATTAAAAACTTGCCGCCATTCATGTGATCGTTAGCCCTGAATTGGACTTCTGATGCTTGTTTCCTTGGGATAATCATCCTATTATATATTGCAGTACACTCTCAAATTCTTCACGTTTTAAGATATGACTATTTATATACGGTCTGTGCATTTGATTACAAGCTCTTTGATTTCTCCATTTTTTAGATTAATTAAAGAAGATAATTTTGATTACTGTATGAGTTTGTGTACATGCAGTTGGTGGTTGTGGGTGTCAGGACCCAATTCGATCTGGCTGTTCTTGAGGTTTTTGCCCCTAAAAATTAGCTAGTACAAATCAAAAGAGGCACCAGTCCAATTTGATGGTTGAGAGAGTGTGTACAAATCAAAATGCACTGAATCTGATCATGTTTTTTGCCCCAAAAAATCTACTTAACTTGCTATTTTCCCATGGCATAGAACTCATCTCGGAAGCTCATAAAATACAGATAAATATGAGCTTTTCTTTTGCCTCATTTCTACTCTCTCTTGTTTTAAATTGTTGTAATATTTACTTCTCGAGAGTTAATTTAATTAATTTTTAAAGTTAAATTAGAGATAAAATTGAAATTTACATTCTTAAAAATTATAAGAAAAATACTAAAAATTATAATTTTTCTTATGACAAAAAGTTTAAATGTTGATCAAAGTTTACTTTCACTCTTGAAGCAAAATATGACAACTAAAAGGAGTATATAATTTTTTTTTTGAAAAGTTACAGTGTTTTATTTTCTGTCAGTGAAGTTGGAAAATGGACCGTGGAAATTACCGACGTGGTGGCGGTGGAGGTAACCGTGGTCGTGGCCGAGGCCGTGGCTGTGGTAACTCCGAACAGGAGCAAGGCCATGGAGGCGGAAGTGGTGGGCCCCAGATGGGATCATACAATCAGCAGCCACCATTTCAGCCTCCACAGCTCAACCAGCCAAGGGCATCTGGTCCGGGTCAATATCAGGGTCGTGGGGCTCCTTATAATCAGCAGGATACGGGTCAGCACCATACAGTTGGTCAGAATTCGGGTCGTGGTGGTACTACTTGGGTCAGCCGTGGTGGCAGTGGTACTGCTTGGCCCCGGCCACCACCGCAGCAGCAGCCACAGCAACATGGTAGTAGTGGCGGTGGTACTGCTTGGGCGCGACCACCACCGCATCAGAGACAACAAGATTTTAGTAGCGGCAGTGGTACTGCTTGGGTCCGGGCACCGCCACAGCATCCTCAGCAACGTGGTGCTGGTGGCGGCTCTAGAAACCAGCTGCAACGGGATGTGGAACCGAGTAGATCAGGAGCATCAAATGTTCGTCCTTGGGGTGCACCTTCAGGCTCTAGTCGTTCTCAGTCTTCTGGTATTAACTCGTACCCTTACATGGTTGTTTTTTCATTTTATGTCTGCATAAGTACAAGAATTTTAAATCAACTTGATCTGAAGTCCCTTTATACGTGGCGTTTGAAAGTTTTCAACTCTTTATAAGTGTCCATTTGATCATTTCTCTGTTGTTCTCCATGACCTTGATCCTGTGTCGGCATAGTTTGAGGTTTTGGAGTGCCTATTGCAAACACTATTTTTTGGTCCAGACCGTGCTTCTATTTTATTTTTGGATTCTCTTGAATATGGCTCCTAAATGTTTTATTTTACATTGGATTTGTGATGCTGATCCTCACTGTTCTGCTTTTATAGGTCCAATCCATCAAATGGATCGACAGCCTGGGAAAAGAATGGTAGTATATATTATGTTTGTTGATCATTCAGGACCATTTTCTTTTTCGGTAAATGGAATTAGACCCTCCTACCAAACAAAGAGTAGTCGATAAATAATTAGGGTTCCCTTTTCATAGACAAGAGCTGCGGCGTTCATAAAAGGGGATAGGTTTTGGAGTGAATTCTTTGCATCTTTTCATCTGGATTTTATAGTTCATAGTACTTTTTTATATAGAAAATTGCATCCGGAAGTAGGATCTGTGGCAGCAGAAGCATATGCCCAGACGCCTAATACATATCATATTTCATATTTTATATTATAAGTGTGAAGCCAAAAAGTGAAAGGTAAAAGACTAAAATAACCCTATAATTCTAATAGACTTTTATACCCTTTAATGGATTGGATAACCCGTCCAATGTTAACACACAAAAACGTAAATGTTAACCTTAAAAGGCTGCATGACCATTTTATCCCTTAAGAAAATAAACCGTCTACTAAATGATTACCTTATTACATTGAACTGTATGAATGTGCAGAATTTATTTCATTTACCCATCGTTATTGCAGCTTATAGGTGTGTAAATGTTCTTAGTTATTACTTGTAGTTATTTCAGCCTTTATTTTTGTTTTCCCCCCCATCTTTCATGGTAATGACCCTTTATTGGTTAGTTAATTCAATTATAAAAGAAGACAAAACGGATGACTTTATTTACCTCTTTGTTTACTCGAGGGAAATTGAAACGATGTATTTGAACTTCATAACATTTCAGTTTTGAGTGATTAGAATTTTAAATAATAAGTAGGCATTTAATCTCTCTCAAACAGTTTGAAATTCCTCAGAGTATTTATATGTCAATAGGCACAAGATTACTTAAGGATCTCTTTGTAGATTGTGGGTAGTGAGGTATGTGTCAGAAAAATTGAAGGTTCATTTTTGTCAGAAAAATTGAAGGTTCATTTTTCTTATTTTTTGTACTTCTTTTCTTTCATTAAAGAAAACTTTGCATATATGAGCTTTGCAATAATTGTCCTGATTAGCAAGAGTATATGCACATGGATCATCATATTTTTTTAATCTGGCCCATGGGACTCTATTAACTAAAGTGAAAGTATAAATCTTTTTAGCTGTATGAAAAAATGAACCAGAATTATTTTATTAATTGTCTAAATTATATTTCTTTTAATATGAAAATAAATTCAAACAATAAGACCATAACTTAAAATTTTATCATATTTTCAAATTTTATAGATTATAACATGATATGCGAAATGAGTATCGCTATATGACCTTTTTATTTGCTAGACACATTCTTATTTGGTTATTTTCTTTGAAAAAGTAGAACAACTTCTTCCTTAATGCTTTTGCTTTGGAGTGGTAGAGAGACTCGAGTAACAAGCGTCAGTGGGGGGGGGGGGGGGGTAAAAGAAATGAAATTATTTTTGTTACAAAAGAGAAGATACGGCTGATTGGTGTATAAAAAATGCCGGTTTAATTGTGCATAAAAATAGCTGGAGTTCCTAGATGTTTTCCTCTTTAGTTACTATCATTCTCTAACTATATTTTACCTTCCGAGAGAAAAGAAAAAAGAGATAAAAATCAGTTTAAGATAGAAGAACTACTTGAGTTTCACATAAAAATTTCTAGGCAGCCTATGATAGGTAAGGTTATATTAGTGCAGAAAAGATCCACAAAATCTTAGAGAAGTCAATTATAGAGCTTTGCTATTTGGATTTAGGAATTTAATTATACTAATATGGGTTTATAGTATAAGAAATTAAGTTTACGGTTTTGAAAAATGAAAATAATTTGGAAAAACATTGAAGAAAGTATTCAAGATCATTTGGGACACTTGTAGGACTTAACTGCTCCATATAGGCAAACATACTTTAAAAGTTAAACTGACGTTAACCATTAATTCCCGACAAATTTAATAGACTCACCATTAATCGGAATGACAAAAAAAAAAGACTTACTATTCATCAATTTGAACTTGTATGCTTTTTCAAAATTCGTGATACACATGGTATCAATAGTTTAATAATATTTATATCTCATTCGTACTATTTAATTAATTAATATGGGATACACGTGCAATGCACGTGCTCAGAAACTAGTTTATTAAAAGTGCATATACTGATTTATAGGGCTCCGCTTTGCAGTTAGGAATAATCTCATGTCTACGCGACGGCGCTACCTGTATTACTCTTATATCTCTTATGATTGATCTCATTTCTGCTTGAACATTCAGTTCTGCAAAGTTATTAATCAACAGTCTTTTTACTAAGGCTATTCTGTCTATTTTGCTTCTATTGATTCTATTAAGGATAAAATCATGACTAAACAGCCATATTTTAGCCAGTAATTTGTTTAAAGTATAGCATTACGTCTAAATAAGGCCACTTTATTTGACTTCTGTTTTTTGTCGAGGAACTCTTTCAGGATTAAAGTTGAGTTAGTCCTCCAAGTCTTATTTGTGCCTCTTTGTTTCCTGTAGGCAGTTGAAAGCCAAAATCAGGACTATTCTCACTTTGTATCGCTTCCATTAGCCATATATCCTGAACTGGTCAACAAACTCATCAACTTTCAGAACTCAGTTCTTGGAATTACTGAAGTGTCTAAGTCCCCTATCTCAGAATCAAAGGCTTCAGAACTATTAGGTATAAGATTCTATATACTGTGTTAATTTTCTTAAGGGCAGGATAGCTAAAATCCCCGTAAACTTGGCACGGGTTATTAGTTGCACATAGTCTTAATTACCCTTGCACTTGGATATTTGACAGCATTTAACCCCTGGACACTCTCATCTCCAGGAAGTGACATAAATGCTCTTGCTACGCTCTTTGCATGTCAGCATCTTAGGAGAATTAAACAATTGGAATAAATAAACCATTGTATACGACTGTCAAGTAACGGGTGGAAAATACCCCAACTCTAGCTGATTCTTCAATTTCTCGTCACTCGCACTTACCTAAGCTCTTTGCCATGTCAGCATCTTAGGGGATAAGGACTATCAAATAGCCAAGTCCAGGAGTAACTAAGATTATGAATAGTTTAGATGTGCTACTGATAATTCGTGTCAAGTTTATGGGTTATTAGGTATTCTGCCTTGATTAAAAGATGATGAGAGAAAAAGGATTCATGTACTAATGTTGTTGTAAAAGCTGAAAATTCTTATCTCTTCATTTCCTTATGTTTATTATAATATCTATCCCTATGTTTCAACCTAGCATGGGGACTCGGTGCTTCTAGTTCTTAATCTCTGACAAAATTGACCAACGTTTTTCCACTCAACAGAGTTGGGAATTGAGAAGTCCATCTTTATTAATCCAAAAACATTCCACTTGACTGTGCTCATGCTGAAGCTTTGGAATAAGGACCGTTTTGAAGCAGCTGCTCACGTTTTGCGGGTAAACATTTCTACTTTAATGGCCATTTTGTCCCTTTATAATATCTTTTTCTCTTTTGAACTTTTCAAAATAAACCAGAGTGTCTCACCAAAAGTACTTGATGCTTTGGAGAGCCGACCAGTGTCTATAAGACTGAAGGGCTTGGTAAGTATTTATCCAAGTTATACAATTATGCACTTCAGGCTGCTATAGTTGATAACCATTACATGTTAATTCTTATCTGCATAAGTTATATCATCTCCTAATTGAAGCTAATTTTATTTTGTACACAGCTGGTTTAGTTATGACAATTTAACTGGCATCATAACCCTTTCCCTTGAAATTTATCTGTGGAATTCGTATTTGCTTATCTGCTTGCAATTGATCTTTGGGTGAATCATCTGTTGCTAATCATCTGCATAAAAAAGTATAGGTTAACGCACAAGAAATGGATAACCTATTATTCGGGTAGGTCAAATAATGGGCGGGTATATTATACCCGCATGTAATGACTACAACAAATAGCCACGTGACCTAGTAATATGTTGCCAACGCATTAAACGGGGCCCCACCCCTATCGTTTATGGACCAAAAGGTGGATGGAGGGTAATTTTAGACCATTTACCAAATGATAGGGGTAGTTTTGGCCCTTCCCATAAGAAAAATGATCAAAACACCGTCTGCCACTACTCATCCCAGCTCATGTAAGTAGAGTCCAATAACGAAGAAACATGGAAAGATGTTGTAGATTGAGCAGAAGGTGATTAATGGTTTTCTTGCTGTAGCACCACTATTAATGCACTTCACTATTAATGGCTATCTTGATGCAGTAAACATAATTTGGATCTAGGATTCATTGAACAAAGTAAGAGAGGAGTGAAAGGAAACAATGGAAGGATAGCCTAGTGGTAAGGAATCTCCACCTACCGTAAGATTGTTGGTTTAAGTCACCAAGAGAGCAAAGTAGGAAAGGATCACTCCTCGGCTCAAACTTCTTGAATGAACATTGAGGGAAGACATCTAAGAGCAAGTCACCTTTCAGTATTCACAATTTTTAGCATCTTGAGCCTAAGATTATTGCAACTGTCAAATTGGAAATTTTCGTATTGTGTTACAGAAACTACTGTTTTTATATTGTGTAGGTTCATATGCATGAAGATCATCTATATTTTGTTTTTTCAGTATTAAATATTGTCTAAATTTAACTTGCACTTTATCTTTTACTTCAAAAACAAAATGATAGATCTCGTATTAGAGATACTTGAAATGTCCAACTATAAGGTTCGAATAAATTTGAGTTGTCACCTGACGTGTTTGTTGCTTTTTTCCTTTTATAACTATACATGTTTTGAATGTGATGTAATTTTCCCATGCACCACAAAATTTCAATATTTTGTTGTGCAATGTAAAATAACTCGAGTTAACTTAATCAATTTACTTGTACTTCGCTAGTGACTTTTTCTTTGGCTTTTTCCTTTTTGGGGAGTAATTGCGGGGCTTGCAGTATGTGTTTACCTCAGATATGCATACGGTCCACTCAGATTTATTTTATGGATTCTGATGTCTATTTGTTGTACTATAGCAGTTTGCTTGTTTCAAATATTTTCTTGTGGTTTGATGATTTTCTCTCACGGGCTAATAAGTTAATGGCTTGGGGAAACACTGAAAGAAGAAAGAAAACATCTCCAAACAGGATACAAGAATTAGTAGTGATATTACAGTTAATATTTTGTAGCGAAACAGTGCCAATTGATGAAGAAACATAGATCAGGCCTGCCTTGAGTTTATATGCTTAAAAGTTAAAAGTATTACCCAAAAAATGACAACGCATGAGAGTGGAAATGTGAATTAGCAAATAGACTTCTGTAATTTTTTTACTCCGAAACAAACAATTGGTAAATGTGTATTAGAGCCTTCAACTGTGCCACTGGTAGCAATGTTGACCCACTTATATTGTATCTAGAGAATGCATTTTCCTTTTCATGCGACACCATTCTCTTTTTATTTTTGCTTCTTCAATTGTTGGTCTCTACATGTGTGTGTCAGAGAGAATGAGAGTGAGACTACATATCATATAGATTTTAGATGCTGCATGTTTCTGGCCTGTTGATTCTAATGAGATTTCACAAGGTCTCAATTTTTCTTGGCCGGAACTCAGATTTGTTCTTACCCTGCAGGAGTGCATGAGAGGTTCTCCGGCAAAAGCTTATGTTGTATATGCTCCTGTGGAAGTAATTGGTGGTGAAGCCCGACTTTTACGTGCTTGTCGTATCCACAGTTTCTGGCATCTTCTTCCCTTACTGTACCCACTAATTTTAATTTCTCTGCATGTGTCATTTCTAATGGAGTTTACTAGCATTTGTCATTCCTTAGCCTTTCTAGAGGTCATCATTGATGCATTTACTGAAGCTGGTCTTGTTCTTGAAAAAGATGCAAACCGGAAGTTAAAGGTATAGCTTTAAAGGTGTTAATTCTTTATTCTGGTTAATTTTGTTGGCAGTGCCTTTATTGTTTGTCCATTAGGACTCTATTTCTGTTGATGCTGCGCTCAAATATATTGACCATTCAATCTAGTGCTGCTTCTTCCTTGCTTTTCCTTCCCCACCGACCCTTCCACTTTCTTTTTTCATAAAAGCAATTTATTCATCGCAAGCGTCTAAAAGCGCCCCAGGGCTTTGATCTAGTGGTACAAAAGCCAGATATTTAAGTGGAGAAGGATTGAGGGCAGACTCATTAGCTACCGTGTTTCGAACTTTGCACCACTTGGCCCCCGGGGATTTCTCGGCTATCCTAAAAGAGCAAGGGCCTAAAATCATAAGGCACCCGGTAGAGGATCTCTTAATACAACCAGAAATGGTTCGACCCTATTTTGGAAAGGGAAGCAGTTCATGCATCCATTTTAATTCTGACACTTCTTCGAATTCAGAACTCTCAAACCGTAACACATTTCTCACCTCCTGCATTCCAACTTTATATGCCTGGAACTTGTTTCTTCAGTTGCATTTTGCTTGCTGGTGCTTTCTTGCGGTGTTCATTTCTTTTTCTGCTCTGGCATCAAGTATTAAATACTTGAAAATTATGCTTCATCTTATTCAATTATATTCTTACTTTATTGGTCACTTTTGAGAAATGCTTGCCCCCCCTAAAACTGTTTTTAGACTTGTACTTGATACAATTACTTTTCTAGATGTATTCTATAGTCTCTGGTGGCCTTTTTCCCTTTTAGACTTGATACCAGAATGCTTGTATAGCTTATCCATGAAATTCTCGTGATAAAAATTACAAAAATTAATATTCTTTTTTTTTTGTTGTTGCTATTTTTGTGTTTTTAAAGTTCCTGATTAGCCTTTTCTGCCCTTTCTAATACAGTTACATGCAACTATAATGAATGCGCGACACAGCAGAAGGTGCCATTTTTAATTCTTTCATTGCATAGTCTTGTTTATTAGTCGGCTTAAAGTCTCTATCATGATGCTACCAGTTGCATAACTCTCTTTGTTGTCAAGGTTGCCACCGACTTACTGTTCTCTAATTGGTAGCAAAAATAGATCAGGAAATGCTGATTCCTTTGATGCACGAGCAATTTTTGGTCAGTATGGCTCGGAAGAATGGGGAGAGTGTCTTATCCGTGAAGCTCATCTTTCACAAAGGTTTGTGTATGGTGCCAATGGCTATTACCATTGCTGTGAATCCATCCCATTTCCTGGAGGGATGTAGCCATGTAGGGTGTGTTTGGTACGAAGAAAAACATCTTCAAGAAAATGTTTCCTATGGGAAAATGAGTGAGTTTCTCTCATATTTTCTAGTGTTTGGTAAGCAAACATGTGAATATGTCATGTATAGTAGTTGGTGAAAACATTTTATGATTTCTCGTTAGTCTGTACATATTTGGACGCTATTTTAGTAACAACTTTAATTGTTACTAAAATTTTTTTGTATTATTAAATTCGTTGGTATGTAATAACGAAAAGACCTATTTTATGTAACGACTCATTTGGTGTGATTCGATTGTTACGTCCTTTTTTCCCCCGGTTATGTTGTTATTTCATAGTTCTATTTTTGTGTTTAACTTCACCTTATACGTATTAGACATCATGTTTGTTTGCCGCTTCATTTTTCTATTTATCTCCCTTTTAGCATTCTCACCTACGTTTTTTATGCTAAGACCCTTTTTATTGGTTTTGGTTGACCAATGTGCCTTTGAATAATTTCGTTAGGGTTTTGGTGAATTTAATAACTTAAAATATTTACGAGGCATAATTGGTGATAAAATAAGAAATTGAGATGTCTTAAATTATTTTGTAATTGTTGATAAATTTAATACTTGTAGTAATTAGGGTATTAGTATGCAATACTATACAATCAAATCAAGCAATAAAATATTATTAAATTACATCAAGCGATATAATCTATTCAAACATTTTTAAAAAGGAATATATTACGAAACAATGAGTACAAACATCGAATCTCCAATCAACCCGTGAGGGATAGAGTAAGGAGGATTTGTAATACTTGGAGGAATCTTATATATTGAAGTTGCTTAATAGATTGTCGATTCTAATAGTACTATGTTAAAACAAATTTGAACATCTTTGATTATTTGGCTGAGTTACCATTTTATCAAGGAAAAAATCGATAAGTCTCTGTGCATCATCATTAAATTTCAAAATTTGAAGATGTTAAAAAAAATGGACTGCATTCATTTTCTAGGAAGTTTAAATCCTTCACGATCTTAACAATAAAGATGAAAACAAAGGGAGGTAGAATTTGAGGAAAAAGTGTTCATCGACCACTAGTTTTGTAAATAGAGAGGTTTATAAATAGAGAGGTTTTCACTCACCAACCATGAACTTTATAAATAGAGAGGAGCAAGACTATAATAGGTTATTATCCTCAGAATAATTTTGTTAGTGGGTATGGTGTTGTTAGCCACTCTAAAAGACTGTTATTAGAAATTAGTCAATGTGTCTCTGACTTTCCATCCGGCGTCTGGCACCTAAATTGGAGCCCGATTATATCCGGATTCGCGTCGCGTAATGCCCCATTCACGGGAAAGCATTTCCTACCAAGAATTTTTCCGTACCCAGAGCTCAAAACCGAGACCTTCACCTTCACTGCACCACATCTTTTGGTGGTTGTAGCTCACCTTTTTCAAGTACTACTATACCGTCGCCCGTCGGCAACTAAATGAAAATACACACACAAAAAAAAAAAACTTATTTCTTTAGAATTTGGTTCGTTCACATTATTGAAAGAATTGTTACACAATCAGATTATCACCTAAAAAGTAATTACATATAAGCTGGTTGAGAATCGGAAAAAGTAATATTTGAAGTTGAAGCAGCTGGAACCTGGAAGGTTATTTTGAAAATTTAGTAACTTCAAAAATAAGGCAAATATACTACTTTCTTCATTCACTTTTAATTGTCTATTTTTAATTTTGCTCTCCCTTTAAAAAAAAAATATATGCATTTTACAGTTTTACTCATAATAATTACTCCTATTAAATTTCAAAGATTCTTGAGAAAATGATTTGTGAAATGAGTAGTTAATGATAAGGGTAAAACATACAAAAAAAATATGGTCTTTTGTTGATTTAATAAAATTGACAAGTAAAGGTGAAAATATATATTTAGTATAGTGAACAAGTAATAATAAACGGGAATCGTACTATATATAGGCGACATAGCATAAATAGTACAAAAATTCTTTATGTTGTGATTATATATCTAAATTCATTTTGTTATAACTACATTATCTTTTCTGAATCGGTTCTAGAACATTGATTTCAGCAGGTTAAATAAGGTTAAAAAACAGTGGGACAAGTGCTTTTCAGCCTCTTCGTTTTTACCTTGCCTGGTAAACCTTGTACTGTCGGTCACTGATTCTTACATATATGCCAACAGTAAGTTCGTAATAGTCTTGTGGGTGGTAGGATAGTCATAGGCAAGTTAATTAATATACCTTTTTCACATTTTATCATTTCTAATTTTCTATCTATTACTTGAATCAATAATGCCTCGTTCATGGTATGATTTTGATTATTAAGTACTTGATGAAACTTCTTTTCGTCTTCTTGAGTCGATATTTTTTCGAAAACAACCTTTCTATTCCTCGGGGTAAGGATAAAGTAAGCGTATACATTACCCTCTCAGTCTTTACTAGTGAAATTTCATTTGGTCGTTGTTGTTGTTGTTGAAACTAACAATTACCTTTCCTTTTATGGAGATTAAATAGTACGAAAAGGGTACGTTTTTGACTTTTTTGTGCACTTTCGATAATAGTAACTGTCACTAAAAAAAATTATTATTTTAATTATCCAGTATTCGAAAACTATTGGAATTACTAATTCAAGTTCGTACCATATAGATAGAAAAAGTGCTCGCTAACGGACTATATAATTGAGAAAATGAAAGTATTCATTTAGTTTTCCGTTGTAAATAAGCTTAAGAAGCTTATCCATTTGGGGCACCGCCGCAAATATGTTTATCTATTTAGTACTCTATTGAAAATAAGCCTCGTGAAGAAGCTTCTCATTTCGGTACTCCGTTATGGATAAATATTACCCCGGTAGAAGATTATCTATATCTGATACAGTAGCAGTTTACAAGCAACTTACACAGCAGCTTGCAGTAGCAGCTTACACATCAGCGTGCAGTAGCAACTTACAAGCAGCTTACACAACGGCTTGATGGGAAACGGGTATAAACAACGGAAGCAAATAGCCAGGATCACTTGCATGTAGTATAGACAACACATAATCACAGATTTTAATAGAACATAAAATCGATGCTTATCTCTTGAAGCGTGACCTTGATCGCGAGAAGATCCTCCAAGCAAGAGCAAAAATCATCCACGAGATCATCCTTCAGTTCCACGGTCTTCTGCTGTGTGACCCGAACAATGCCCGAAATTAGCAAAACTCGTGTGGGCGAGTTTCTCCTAGGAAAACCGTGTAGTAAAAACTATGGTCTCCTTATGGAATAAGACTCCTTTATATAGCCACATGTTTTAGGGTTTAAAACCCTTTTCCTAAACCTGTTGGGTCTTCCTTTTCCACCAAAAAATATGATTCCATTTAATTCCTAATTTTTCGGGCACAGCAGGGACTGCAGTATTTAATTAACGAGACTTCCTATTATGGACTTAATTCGAAATATACGAATTAATACTACCATAATAAATTACGAATTATTCCACTAAAAATTCGTAACTGCACTCCTCAGTTCAATTTCGAAATTCTTCCATTAAACCTTATTTAACTCCCCATGTTAAGATTTAGATACTAATCAAGTAAATTAAATTACTGACAATTTAATTCATTGATTATTTCCTTTAGACTTTCGCCTAACTTATTTCATGTGACGGATAGAAAATTCACCTGTAGGGTTTACACATGAAAACTTATAAGCTTTCATAAAGGTGTATCATCAATCTCTAGACCGAGACATGGATTACATCAACTAACTATTACTTTGCCAATGTATATCATTATTGTCCAGACATATTGACCCACGAAAGAATCTCGCGTTTTAATAAATTAAAACAATAATAATATACACAACTAATAATAATTATATCAAGATTAAGAGTATAAGTATATTTAATGGCTAGAGAATTTATTTTATTAAGCCAGTATAAAATACTTATCTCTACTTGGTCCGTTCAATACATACAAAATGTACTAGCACAAGAAGTCGGAATTAAACCATTCCCATAATCAAGATAAATTATATTTAATCTTGTGCTACAATCATTCCTGATGGTTTGTCCAATTCCATCCTTAGATTGTGAACATGATCTTTATGCTTATAAGAACCGATGATTTAATCTTCCGTGTATAAGCTAAACTCTATACACTAAATCATCTACTATATAAGTAAAGGACACAAACGAATATATGATCTATTTAAAATATTATTAAAATTGAATAAATAATTGTTCCATAATAAATACCATATCCAAACCAAAATCCATGATTAATAGTATATATCCCAACAATCTCCCACTTAGACTTTTAACCATGACAATTATTAGAATATACTATATCTAAATGCATGGTTAATAATATATGCCATAACAATCTCCCACTTAGACTCATAACCATGCATCTATAACTTTTACAGCTATCCTTTTGCAAGACTATTAAAAGTATCTGCCAATAAGTGTTTGCTAAAAGGAACTTGCCAAGTTATTTTAAAATGCAATCTTTTTCTAGTTGTGCTTTGTCGTAACTAACTAGTTTGGTATTAAGCTCTTCAGGGATCTTTGTTAAGAAACTCTCCCAAGAGTACATACCAAACTATAATTTTCCTTACTAGTCTCCCACTACGATGAAGTACTACTAATATTATCTTCATTACCTTGCGGTATTGAAATATTAATGACTTCTTCCTGTAGTGTTCTCTGCTCAACACTACCCTCACTACTTGAAGGTAGTAAATTTTATCTATTAAGGTTTCTCCCACTACTTAAATGCAATGGAACGCCAATTCCGACATATAAAGTTATATGTTCTTGAGCACCTGAATTTTAGATGATTCACACATTATTTCTTTGCTTAGTTCCTGTAAAACTAGTTTACATCTAGGAACATAGTTTATTAAATAATCCTATTATAGAGAACTGGTATTTGTGCTAACAATTACCTTCTTTTCTTTAGAAAAACAAAATAAACCTCCTTTCGTTCCCTTGGTATCCAATAAACGCGCATACACTCGTCCTTGATTTCATCTTATCCGTTTTCCCTTTCAGTATATATATTGGACAATTACACACTTGTCATGACTCGGATTTCCCACACTCGGGGGTCGTGATGGCGCCTACTAGTGAAAGCTGGGCAAGCCAAGCAATCGAATTATTTACCTTGTTTCCATTTTAATCCGTTAATAATAAGAACTAGCATTTAATAAACAACAGAATTTAATAAGCGGAAGACTGAAATGAAATGTTTAAATAATACTACCAATACCAATCCATAACAAATCCACCCAAGACTGGTGTCACAACTTCACAGACTGTCTAGGAGT